GCCCTGTGTCGCAAAAATACCCACCTGATAAGTGACATTCCGTCCTCGGACATTTGTCCCTATGAACTCTCTGCAGAACCCTTCCAATGTACAGATGTGCTAAGCATCTAAGACCATAAGTGAGTACTTGCTGCATACCTGGCACCAGCCAAGACTTTGTGAGAGATTCAAAGTTAAGTCAGAAACCCGGCCGGGCAGGTCCCCGCCCTTAGGGAATTTTCATGCCACTGCAAGTCAGTCCAGGTGGCACCCCTACTCCAGGGGGCCCAGTTGGCAGTGTCACCTGTGCTCCCACAGAGGCCACATCAGCAGGTTGCTGGGTCAAGAGGCTGGAGAGGGTAGAGATGGGGAAAGGGGAGGCCGCATAGAAACCCGGAGACATTTGGAAGGGGCCGCATGGCAGGCGTGTTGGGATTGTCTGCACTTCTTGGGTTTCCTGGCTCAGAGGTCTGATGCCTACTAGAGATGGCTCCCCTGGGAGGGGGTATATATGGATGCAGTTTCTGGCAAAGCCCTCAAGGGCTTTCTCTAGAGAGGTGCAGAGCCCCTTCACCATCTGCAGGTCCCTGACAGTCACCCCACCTGCCCAGGGCCTCCCTCAGAAGCAGCTTCCTCAGAGGCAGGGAGAAGCCTGCTAGGGCTCCATGGTGGTGGTGGTGGTGCTCACTGTGACCCTTACTCACAGGAGGGAAGACCAGAAACAGATGTGTGTTCAATAACTGGGGGCTGCTCAAGTCAGCTCCGGTCCCTTGATGAATAAAGTGTCGGCCACTGATCATAATACCTAAGTTACATCAGGGCTTGGAGACACGCATGAAATACAATTGAGAGAAAAAGAAAGATGCGGGACAATGAGTGCGCATTGACAACCATGGGACAGCAATCTTTTGAAGCCTCTATCCCAGTTTCACCTCCTCCAGGAAGCCCTCCCTGGATCTGGCACCTGCAATGCCTCCCACCGCAGTGCCTGTCAAACCATCCTGCCCTCTCCCATGTAGGTCTGTATCCGCTGGCAGACTTGGGTTCAAGGGAAGCCACATTTCTTCAGTAACCTTGTTCCCAGGATCTGAGAGTGGGTGCTCAGTGAATGTTTACCAACTTGAGCTAAAGGAGGCCCAGAAGAGAATTTAGGGGAATGTAGAGAATTTAAGAGTTTAGTCCACCAGGCACATTGAAGTCCTGCTTATCTTACGGTCTTTGATTTTCTGAATTCATGGGAGGTCTGGATGCAGGTTCGTGATCTCTCCAGCTTGAGGATGGGTCTGGAGGTTTCCTTTGGGGGCCTGTACTTTGCCATGCCACTTTGGTTTTTCACGGTGCTACCAGGGGTGCTGAGAACCCCAGACCGTCAGCGCTGAAGGGACCTTTGCCAATCACCCAGTTCCCAGTGTTTCTTGTTTTACTGTCTCCTGAGGGTCCTTGGAACCTTTGCTGAAATGTCTCTAAGATGTGGACACCAAATGTGCAGCGTTGTCACGGGGAACAGACATGCTGCATCCAGTGTCTGGTGCACAGGTGCTCAATCAAGCTGCTGGTTTCTCTTGCTCATCCGGTCATTTATCAAGCACCTGAGCCCCTATGCACCTATGGCCCCCTGTTCCTGGTGTCACTCCACACTGCAGTTGACAGCTATCTGGTGAGAGCTTGCTCTTGAACATATGTGGCCCCTCCCATCAGGGTCCCCCTCCATCCCTTGCAACACACACAACCCAAGAGATTTGAGAAAGTACCTCCCATCCCAGAAGATATGGACTTCCCCGAATTGAGAATTCCCAATCTAATATACTCTCTCCTTTTAAAGATGAGAAATCTGGGTCCCGAGGAGTCCAGGCTGCAGTCAGAATCATATTCCAAAGCAATGGCATGCCTCCTCGCTATTCTGGAAAAGCCACACCCAGAAAGGGCACAGAGCCGACCCTCCGGAATTCAGGACAGTGTCCTTGATAAAGGCAGGGAGGTGTGGGTACCTCAGGACCCCCATGCGGAAGGCTGTGAGCAGGCAGGCTGCAGGAGAGCCAGTGAAGGGTGGCTGCTGGGGCCTCTTGTACACAGCACAGCTTGTCCTTGCCAGCCGAGGCGCTGCCTGAGCTGGGGTCAGCTGGGTGGCCCTGTTTACACAGGGACACAGACCTTCTGCCCCTCACCCCTCGGAATTTCTGCCTTTAGGCATGCCCAGCACCAGGCAGCTCTGCTCCAAGTGGACAGAGCAGCCCAGGCCCCTGGGCACAAGCTCCAGGCAGGGAGGAACAGGAGCGACAGAGGTCGAGGACAGAGGTCAAAGTACACACGTTTATTTTCTAGAACAAAGGCTAAAAGAATCAAGTTTCTTTCATTTTATTTTAAGAAGGACAAAAATTGTTATTAAAACATCTACATTATTATCAAGATACTAGACCTTATGAATATTTAATATTAAAGTGTGGTATTCTTAAATTTTTAATACACAGACATTTTAAAAGGACCATTAAATTGATTACTGCCCAGCTGAGAAATGCAGCGTCCCTCCTTCGCCCTACTCCAAAGGGATACTCACATTGGGGGCGCCTGCCCCCCCCCCCCATCACTATGTTTAAAGTATTGTCCCTGCCTGCTGGCAGTAGGCACGGGCCCCTGATTCAACTCTCCAAGCCTCCCAGTCAGGGTCATGACTGAAATAATCACCCTCATCCTTCAAAGTGTACTCCTGTCCCCAGGTCCCCCACCTCTGGCCCTCTTCCCAACCCTGTGGGGGATCCAGCTTTGGCCAGGCCAGGGAGCCCCAGATCCCAGGGGACCCTGGATGGCTAACATGTTGAAGAAAAATCTGGACACTAATCCTATTCTTCTGGGCGGAGACAAACACCAATCATTTTCTTTCCTGGAGCACCACTGCTCTCTCCCGGCAAGGCTGGAGTGGTCTGGAAACTGGGCCCAGGCGAAGCCACTCCTGCCCTTGCTGAGAAATCACCTCCAACCCATGGCTCCAAGTCCCCGAATCTGAAAAATCCCTCTTAATTACACACCAGGATGGCTGCATTTTCTGGCCAAATTCTTTATCTTTAGCCCTCATTAGAAGTGATTCCTTGGATACCACACACATATATAATATTATATAGAGCGATATATTTAATACCTGTGTATATATGCATCACGGGGGCGACATATATACACACTAAAAACGAGGCTGGTGACGACAGACTGCAACACCACGGATCAGGGAAAACAAGTGTCATCGACATTCACAGCCACGGCCCCCACCTCGGGTGTGGTCTCTCCTCCCCTCCAGCCACGCCACCAGCACGAATCTGCTGGCCTGCTGGGGGAAGGGGGCAGGGAGAAGAAAGGATGCATGCCACGATTACTGGGAAAGGCTGGGCAGTGACAGCAGGAGGAACAAGGTTCTCTGCGTCTGGGGTGCCCATAATCACATCATTGCTCACTATCGATCCTTGCTTGAGGAGAAATGAGGGGGATTCCATTTTCTTTTTCTCACCCCCCACCCCTGACTCCAGCTGTGGTCCCCGGTTCCTTCCGGGGGGCCCCACTTCTTGTGCCAACAGTGTGGGGCGTTCTGGAATGTCTCAGGAACCAGGGGAGGCCGGGTCTGCCCACAGCGGGTGGGATGGAGAGGAGGGGGTGCACGCAGACAGGTCAGACGAGAGGCATGGGAAAGGGCTTGGTGGCTGGAGGTAGGGGCCGGGGGTCAGCTGAGGTCCCAGGCAGCTGGCAGGGCCGGGAATCAGGGAGGGCTGGGACAGACAGGCGTGACTGTATTCTGGGTCTGGGGAGAAAGGGATGAGGGCCATGTTGGGTCCTCAAGAAAGAGGAGCTGTGTCCCATCCTAAAGTGACCCATGGTGCTCAGCGATCCTAGAGTGGCCCATGGCATTCATCTCCCTTCTCTCCACGTTCCCTGACCCCCACCCTTCCCCTTCTTCCCAGTGCATCATGCAGGAGCTGAGCCCATGGTGCCCTGCCTGTTACCACCGCCCTGAGTTGGCGTGGGAAGCAACTTGCTGCTACACTTGCTACGACCATCCTCTGGAGGGGACCGTCCCTCTACAGGGTGCTGCCATGACCAATCCCCTGAGCCTCCCTTCTTCAGCCAACAAGTTCCACTGCCTGGAGCCCCCGTGGCACACTGATTCAGAGACTGTCATATCCCTGCCAAGAGCCTGGAGGCTCCAGCAGACAACTGGCCCTGAGCCTTTTGACTAGTTTGCCTCTGGCTTTACCTTGTGCCGTGGGCGGGAGACCCTGAGCAGATCACCCCTCCCTTCCAGGCCTTAGTCTTCCTATCTGCAATAGGGGGGGCTTGAGCTGAGTCATCTCTGAGGACTCTTAGGACCTAAAGTCTACATTTGGTGGCTCACAAGGGAGGAGGGCTGGGCTGGTGGCCGGACTGGAGAGGCTCTAGAGATCATCTAGCCCAGCCCCTCCCACTCTTCCAACCAAAGGGGAAACTGAGGCCCCAGAGGGCAAGCGACCAGTATTGTGTTCCCAGCTCCACCCTGGGGCTGCATTTTAAAGCTAATTGGGGCCCGCCAGCCCTCTGTTGTGTACTGATCTGCCCCCAGGGAGGTGGGGATGAGGTGAGGGTGGGGCAGGGAAAAGGACCCTCCTGCTGCAGATTCAAGTGGGGACCCCAGGCTCCCCAGCCCTGAGCTTTGGGCCCCCTTTAGGAGCAGACAGAAGTTAAAGCTGTAGGCTGAAGCTGGAGGGGTCAGCCAAGCCCCTCCCTCCCCAACCAGGAGAGCGGGGGCTTGGGGTGTCTGCCCAGGGTGTTCCAGCAGGACGAGGACCCTGGGACCGCTTAGGGCTACAGCACACGCACCTGGGTATGCACACAGGTGGTGGGGGCAGAGAGGACGGAGGACAGACGGGGCCCCAGGGGGCCGGGGGCTGCCTGACGAGGGCGGCCCCCCGCCCCCAGCCCTGGCCTGCCTTGGCCCTCCAATCAGGACCTCTGTCCCCACCCCCGCCCCCTGACCCTAGGACTTCACCCGAGGCCCACAAATGGCCCTATTCCCCAGTGACAGTGGCAGCAGCAGGGGCTTCTGGGGCGGCACCGGCGGTGTTCCCATCCTCTTGCAGCAGGAAGTTGTATTTGCCAAAGTCGTCGTCCCGCGGGCACAGAAGCATATCCTTGCGGGCCTTGGCCAGCTTCTGCTTCAGCACCTCACGCCGGTCCAGCCACTCGGTGAGCTCCTCCTGCCCGTGCGCGCAGCGGCACTTGTCCCCATCTGGGCAGGCCTTGCCCTTCTGGAGCCTGCGGGCAGGCAGCAGGAGGCTCACTGCCCAAGCCCGAGCCCTGTCCACCACGGGCTGCGGACCTCGGGCCGGCGGCTCAACCTCCCCTCGCAAGACAAGCCTTCCCCTGGGCAGCCTCGGTCCTGGTGAAAGCTGGCACGTCCTAGCCTCCTCGAGGATCTGCCTCAGGGCTGCAGGCAGGGGTCTGGCAGTTCTGAGCCCACCCCGTCCCTCCCCACCCTGCTCCCGCTCTCCCTGCTCCTCACATCCAGGAGCAGCTGTTTCAGGACAACACCCTCTGCGCGCTATCTCCAGACCCCAGGCTCATCTCAGGCCCACCCTGCAGCCTGCCAGGCTCCTCCAGGCCCGCCATGCCCGCCCCACGGGTCCCGCCCTCCCTGGAGCACCTGTCACAGAGCCGGAACTCGCCCATGGGGAAGCGGTAGGCCCAGCCACTGGCGTCGCTGTCGGATGTGAAGACCTTCTCCTTGTGCTTCTCAGACTGGATGTGCTGCTGCCACTGCTTCTTGCTGTTGCTGTTTTTGCCGCAGAGCCAGCAGTGGTAGCCCATCTGGGGGCACAACGGCCGTGGGTGCCCGTTCCTCGCACCTCCGCCTGGACCGCTCTCCCACCCCACGCCCTCCCAGGTCTGGCTCAGACCCGGGCCCGCGCACGCGTGAGGGGGTTACCATGATGTCGGCGTAGTCTGTGGGCATCTGGATCTGCTTCTCCCCTTCCCGAGAACTGATTGGGGTCCCTTCCCCTGGTTTCCCTGGGTTGTGTTTCTTTAGCCACATGTCATAGGTCTGTTGCATGTCCAGGACTGGTGGGCAATGGAGGCCAGAGTGCTTGGTGAGAGGGGATTCTTCATCCGTTCTGCCCCACGACACCCCCTGGACTTGGGAGCTGGGGGCATCCCAGGCCTTGCGGTTGGGCGGGCACGGTCGGGGGCGGGGGGCAGGAGGAGGGCCTGGGCGGTGGCAAAGGGAGAGACAGCAGGTGCTCTTGGGCCGACTGATGACTCGGGGTGTCTGGCAGTGAGGGGACACTGGGCCAGGCCCCCACCCTGCCCAGTCTTCCCACTCACTCTTGTTCTCCTTCATGAATGTCCACATGTCCCTCTCCTCCGGGCTGTGTGCGAAGGAGCAGTTCCCCACGTACTGGCACTTGCGGCCGTTCTGCGCGTGGATGCAGAGCTGCCGGGTGGGCGCGGGGAGAGCCTGCTGAGCTCCCCTGGATTGTGTTACAGCCCCAGCCGGCAGGCAAGCCCTCGGAAGGCCCCTCAGCCCCCACGTCGGAGTTCCCACCACCACCCTGCACCCCACTCCTGGCGCTCACATCGTATTGCTGTGGGAAGTTGCGAATGGATGGCAGCGGCCTCACCGACACCCATTTCCTCTTGGCCTTTGACATCACCAGAAGGACCCGCCGCTCCTTGGTCCAGCTGTAGGGCAGAGCAGGGTGGGGGGGAGGGGGGGAGATGGTTGGGAGAGCTCAGGGCAGAGCCTCGGGCTGTGTGAACTCCACAGAGAGCCCCGGCCTCCTAACTCCCGACTCACGGCGCTTGGGTGGGCTCCCCACCCCCCAGCCCAGCCCCCGAGTGTCGCCTGGCTCACCAGTGCCGGGCCTTGGCACTGCAGTACTTGAGGTCTTTGTCAGGCTCCACCACTTGCCCATTCCTCCAGCACTGGCCACACACAAACTTCATCTGCAGGTCGAAGGTGCTGGGCCCATGTGTCCGAGGGGCACCCTGTTGGGGAAAGGGGCTGGTGAATCCACAGGCACCAGGGCTGAGGCCTGGGGTCTGTCATGCAGGTGGCCTCCAACCGTGTTCGAGCCACCTAGAGCCTTAGAATGAGCCAGTCCACTACCAGAGGGGAGTTACCTCCCCACCCCATGGCTCATGGCCTCTCAGTGTGGGAGCCAGGCCTGGGACGGGGCTCCAGATTCCTGACTGAACATTCTGCCTTATCCAGCTAGTCCCCGTGGGTCTGCTCTTTGCAGCTGCTGGCATTTTCCTGAGCATGGCACGCTTTTGCACATGATGTTCCCTCTGCCTGGAATGCCCTTCCTTTTTGCTTCAGGCTTATTCTGGAAACTTTCAAACCTCAGCTCAACCACCACACCTTCCCCGGAGCTCTGCTAAGTGGCAGCCGCCCATCCTAGGGGCTCCCACAGAACCCGAACTACCTCATGTTGATCAACTTATCTAGTTACAAGGGCCGGGCCTGTGGACAGCAGGGCCCAGGTGGGAAGTCACTTGCACAGGAGCCTGCCGTGGAACAGACTTCTGGGCAGCCTTGGATTCCCTCCGGCCCCACCCTGTTCACTCCCCATCCTCTGCTCCAGCCCTTCCTTTGCAGACAGGAGGGCCTGGTCTTCTGCACGTCTGGGGTGGGGGTAGGGGGAGAGGTGGGGGAAGTGGCCACCCAGCCTTGTCTTCTGCCACTTTGAACCCCCTCACCCAGTTATATTGGCTAACCTATGAGCTTTCCTGTCACCTTGAGCCTCCCTGTCCTCCCTGGAGCCTTAGGTGTAGGGTTACCCCTCCGGGCAGCCTTCACTCCTCTAGGCTGGAGGGCACATGTCCCTTCCCATGAGAGTACTCTGTGTCCCTGGCACTACCTAGCTCAGGGCCTGTTTTTGAGCAGGAAGGGGCTCTGTCCGTGTGTGTGAACTGAACCCTGGCCTGGTGCTGGAACACTCGCAGCCTGGCTCGGCCCCAGGACAACCCACACGTCACCTTGGTAACAAGGTAGAGGCATGTTTGTAGCTGGGGCATGGCCAGTGTCAGAGCGGACAGTAGGTTCTCCATGTCACTACTGATTTCTAGGTGTTCCATTGGACTCTTCCAGAAGCCTGAGGGAACTCATTTCACAGGTGGGGTAAGTGGGGACTGCTCTAATGAACAGCCATGCCAGTTCACTGGCCTTCCCTTTCCACAACCGCACAACCTCACCAGCTCCTTGCTGCAGCCCTGGGGGGCAGGTGGGTTCGTTCCCACTTGACTGGATAGAAGCAGAGGCTCAGAGAGGTTACTAATCCCCCCACGGGTAAGTGGCTTGAGGACAGGGACCTGGCAAGAGGCGGGTGCTCATGCTTCTTTGTGGGATGGCGCCGCTATGGCACCATGGGCACTGGGCCTCAACAGTTCCCACCCTGGCATCTCATTCTTGGCCTCACGGTGCTACTGGCCCTGCCCTCTGATGGCAGCCAAGCCAAGATCCCTCATGCCCTGGTCACGGCCAGGACTGGCACAGAAGCCCTGTTCCTGAGCCAGGCCCAAGGGTGGTATCCGGGGTGGGCCTTGGCAGCAAGAGTGGGTTGAAGTCAGTCATGGCACCTTTGGGCAGCCGGGCCTGCCCCCATCTCTGGGGACCGTTGCAGCAGCCCTGAGTAGGAAGAAGGGGTAGAGGTGGTAAGGACTCCGAGTTCTCTTAGAAGATAACACTGCAGATCCAACCTAAGCCCCTCACTGTTTTCCAGCCGGGATCCTGGCCAGGAGCAAAAAATAAACCACATGGCAGGGAGGGGGAGAGGGAGGGGAAAAGAGGATTGCACAGGAAGGGGCGGAGGAGGGAAACAGCCAAGAAGATGAGAGAGAAAGAAAGAAAAAGGAACAGAAAGAAGGACTAGGGAGAGAGAGGAGGGAAGTCCCAAGGGGGCCAGGCAGCCCCGTCGACCAGCCTGCCCTGCTCCCTGGCTCACTGCCACACCCATGCTGGCCTCAGGAGGGGCTAGGGGCCCGGCCTTCTCCCAAGCTGACCAGTAGGTATGCCTGGCCTGGGGAGGGGGTCCTCTTGGATGGCACAGGGGCTTCAGCTCACGCTATCTCTTGGGCCTGAGATCACCCCTTCTGTCCCCACTGTCATCTATGGCTATAATGATCCCTCCCTCTTAGGGAAGCATATGAGGATCGGGATGGCACAGGGCCTGGTGCAGAGCAGGGACCCAGCAAGCTATAGCTTGGTCAGCTTCTGTACCCTCACACCTACCCTGGGAGATGGGAGGCAGGATTATGACCCCATTTTATGGGTTAGGAATCCTCAGGGGTGGCAGGAATGGTGCACAATTGTGGGAGGGCAGAGTGAGCTCAGGACAAGATGTCAGAGAACCAGGCATTTACTCCACTAAGTGTGCCCCTGGGTGAGTCTCTAGCATGTTCTAAGACTCAGTTTCCCCATCTGCAAATGCCACAGCTCACTTCCTCAGGAGCAGGATGAGGATCAAAAGAGATGGAAATGACATAATCAGTAGGTGAAAAGTTTGAGGAATACCAGGATATTTACCTGGTCTCAAGGTATCTCCCCAGAATGTACTTATTAATTACAAAGGGGGAAAAATGTAACTTCACAAGAGAGAAACCCATATAGTAGAGGCACCTTCAATCAAGTGATCACCAGTAATGGGACAAATTGAGATGATGTGCTTCCTGATGAGTGAACTGAGAAGAACATCACCTCTGGGGTTTGAGGAACCATCAGATAATCCCAAATGCTTATTTATTTTGAGAGAGAGAGAGAGAGAAAGAGTGGCAGAGAGAGAGGGAGAGAGAGAATCTCAAGTATACTCCGAGCTGTCTGCATACAGCCCAACACGGGACTTGATCTCACGAACTGTGAGATCATGACCTGAGCCGAAATCACGAGTCAGACACTTAACCAACCGAACCACCCGGGTGCCTCCGGCTGGACCTTTTATAAGACAGCCGCTCCTCCAAACCATCAATGTCATGCAATACAAGAAAGACTGGGGGACTGCTCTAGATTAAGAGACCAGACAGCACAACAAACAAATGCAGTGTCACTTGGGGCTTGGGGACAATTCACAAAATCTGAATAAATAGGACATCATAATCTGAATAATTAAACCGATGTTAGTTCTGTGATGCTGATAATTGTACTGCGGTCATTATGTAAGACAGTGTCCTTATTTTTAGGAAATACACACTGAAGTTTTGGGGGATGATGAGGCATCATGGCTACAACTTATTCTCAAGTGATTCAGAAAAAGGTAGGTTATAATTGTAGATAAGTGTCTCTGTGTGGATGTACACACATACCAGGACAAAGTGAGAGTGGAATGTGGTAAAATGGTTCATGTCTGGGGAATCGAGAAATGGGTATACATGAATTCTTTGTACTATTCTTACAAATTTCTGGTAAGTCTGAAATTATGTTCAATTGAAGGAATGGGGAGTGGCCCTCAGGGGCCTGATGCCACCCCCCGCCCAGCGCCGACCCAGGGCCTTACCAAGCTGCTGCTGGCCTTCCCTGCATGGGCCTCCGTCTGCTGCCAGTATTTCTTGGATTCCTGGACAATGTCTTCGTGGGTCATGCCTGTGGAGGGCGGCACCACGTGCAGGCGTCGGTGAAGGGGCTCAGTGAGGAGAAAGGCGGGGCATCTCCAGGTGCCACGCCCAGGCCCCCACCCCCCAAGTGGGCCCTGCCACAGAAAGACGTGGGGTGCGGGGAGAGCACTCATGCTCTCTGGGCCTGTTTGTTCACGTGCAATTGGGAATGGGGGACCTGCTCGAAGCCCTCCCAGGGAGCAGGAGCAGAAAATGCAGCCAAGAGTGGGAAAATGCAAGAGAGAGGCTGGCCCTGCGGCATGGTGTGGGGGCTCTCCTGCCCTCATGCTGCTCCGTCTCTTGGGGCAGCTGCTCAGCACCCTTCCTCGACTTGAGGAAGCACCCCTACCTCGCTCAGTGGGGCCTCAGGCCTCACTCCTGCTTGGCCCCCGCTAGCCCAGTGGCTCTTAGGGCTCCGTGCCTGGCCCAGCCTGGCTCCCTAGCTCATGGCGGGACCCCCGCAGGTCAGCAAAGGGCAGACACTCCCTGGTGGCCCAGACCCTCCCACTCTGACTGTTGACGCCGAGCCCACCTTCTGAGGTACAGCGTGGAGCCTCTTCGTGAAGCATACCCTGCTCCCATCCCTTCCAGTCTCTTTCTCAGACCGATTTCCTTTCAACCTTGTCCTAGGCCTCCTGCTCCATGGTGGCTGCTTGTCACTGGGGCTTACTCTGGATCAGGCACTGTCCCTGACACACACTTGCTGGCTGATGAGTCCCAAATATTCCAGCCCAGACCTCGGTGGTGAACTTCCGGACCTCCACATCCAGCTGCCTGCTCAACATCTCCACTTCCCACACCGAGCCCTGCTGTGACCCCCCAAACCTGCTCCCCCTACAGCCTCCCCTTCTGAGAACGTGGCCACTCCGTTCTTCCAGTTAGTCTGGTCAAAAATCTTGCAGTTGCTTGATGCCATCCTTTGTCTCATGCTTCATATCCGGTCCATCGACAACTCCACTGGCTCCACCGTCAACGTATCCCCAGAATCTGATCACTCCTTCCACCCTGCTGCTGTCACCCTGGCCTGAGCCACACCTTCCCTGGGCCCCCTCTGTCCACCCTCACCCCTGTATTCTCTACCCAGTAGCCAGAGCGAGTTTTTAAAAATACTGATCAGACGCTATCTACCCACTTAAACACTCCAGACTCTGCATATCCTATCTAGAACAATCCTAACTCTGTGTACGGCCTAGAGACTTGTACACACGTGGGTCCTTACCTACCTCTCAGGCCCTCCTCCCCCCATATGCCCAGCCACTCGGCTGTCACAGGCAGCCTTTCTGTACCAAGCTTGCTCCGGCCTCAGGGCCTCCAGCTTTGCCATTCCCTCTGCCAGGCATGCTCCCCTTACCCTTCCTTGCTCAAATACCACTCTCTTCAGAGAGGCTTTCCCTGACCTTCTTATCCCAAATGCCCCAGGCTGAGTCCCTCCCCATCCCATTGCTCTGCCTTACTTTCTTCACAGCACTAAGCACATCTGAAATTACATAACCCTATTTCATCAACTCTAAGAAGACATCAATTGTTAGATGCACCATTATTTTATGTTACACCCCCCCAAATGCTAATTAGATTACCACACGCAGTGGGGGATGGGGGGGTATGTGCATCCTCGAACAGATGGAATACGGGATTTATTACCTACTTGTTGCACTGCCTGCCTTGCCCCCGCTTACAGATATCAGATGTTCTCTGAGAGCAAGGACCTCGGGTAGTCTTGCTCGGTCCCTGACACAGAGCAGGTGCACTCGTCATCCTATTAGATGAATGAGTGAGGGAGTGATATCTTTTCATCTCCTCAGCTCTGAGGTGGAGATTAGGATCACCAGTTCACGGATGAGCAAACGGAGGCTCAGTGAGGGGGAAGTGACCTTGCTGATGACCAATCAGGCAGCCCGGCTCTGCCCCCTCTCCTTTTTCCATATGTGTTTCCCCAGCACGGCTTGGATAGGGATCAACTCAGGACCCTCCAAGCCTGGAAGCTCCCGGAGAGCAAAGCTTTGTGTCCTCTGTGATGTCTGGGGAGCACTGGCTCCTGCAGAGGCACCCCTTCCCCTGCTAACTGCCCCTCCTGAACTCGAGTCCCCCTCTGCCACCTGCCACGGGCCGGCCCATCCACCCTCAGCCAATTGTCGCCGCCCTCTGCCCGCCCCTGCCCAGCCCCCTCACCAGAGTACTGCTGCAGCAGCCAGACTTTGAGCTCGATGAAGCTGTGGGCGAAGTGGCAGCTGTCCTCCCGCAGGCAGCCGTAGCGCACCTCATGGCGGCACACGTCGAACTGGAAGTGCTCCTGGAACTGGCGGATCTTGGAGTACTTGAGGGAGGTGGAGCGGACGATGTGCACCAGGCACCTGGCGGGCACAGGGGCGGAAGGCACAATGCAGTCTGCAGCCCCAACACCCCCTACCCCCACTGCCACTATTCTGGACAGGGCCAGTCTCCCCAGTGCCGGGCAAGCCTGCGGGGAGAGGCTTCTCCCTGGGTGTTCCTGCCCTATTAACCACTTCTAGAACACGACACCACAATAGGCAAGACATGGGGATCCTACACTCGGCTGTATGCTTCTCCCCTGGCCTCAAGGCAGGGCCAGCTCAAAGGTGGAGCTGCCAGCAGGAGGGCACAGATGTCACCTGCTATGAGGCTGGGAGAAGGGAGGGCCCGTGGATGGGGGAAGGGGCAGGTTCCCCAGCTCAGTGCTCCAGAGCCACTCCTGCGGCCAGGGGAACGATCATTGAGCATCTCCTCTGGGACAGGAATTTTAATTACGCTCACAGCAACCCTAGCAACTTTACAGACAGGGAAACCAAGGGTTGCACGCAGGGCATAAAACAGGCATTGATCGGGCTGGGATCTGAACCCAGGTTTATCTGACCCCAGGGCCTGGACTTTATCAGGTCCAGAGGGAAGTCAGAGGGAGCAAAGGTTGGGTGTCAGACCTGACTCAGCCCCTCCCACTCACTGTCCAAGGCCAATGTCACGACAGTGGAGGGCACCAGATGGGAGTCGGAGATGTGGCCTCCCACGTGCCTGTTGCGTGAGCTACTCCCAAGCCTCATCAGTACAACAGAGACTGTGTCTCCTCCCTCATAAGACAGAGGAGACCATTCAAATACCCAAGAGAATGCCTGGAATATAGATCTCAATAAATGGGGTTTCGTCCTTTCCAGATGGATGCTGGATTCTGCCCCTTGCCTTGACGCCCTAAGTCAACCCTCTGGCCTCAGCTGCTCCCCAGGCACCTGAACTACCCCAAGCCTCTGTGTGCCCCTGCTCCCAGGCCCGGGCTGTGAGTCCCACTCACTTGTTGTTGTGGAAGCTGTGCTTGGCAGCCAGGTTGGAACAGACAGACGGGGAGTCCTTGGTGCCTTTGCTGATGATCCGGGGCTTACTGTCAAAGCAGATCTGTCCGGGGAGAGGGTGGGCTGGGATCTGGCATGGCCACCCGGGGAGGGACAGACTGGGTCCTTGCAAGCCCTGCCCTGAGTCAGGGGAGTGAGAAAGGGAACCCCAGGATCTGTGGCCCCTATCTCTCTGGCTCTAGCTCACAGCCTGGACTGTGGCTCTCTCTGATCCCCCCACCCCAAATGCCTGGGGTGGGGGGGTGTAACTCCAATTCTCTGAGCCCGAGTTTCCTCAACTGTAAACGGGTAACCATGCCTGCTGTCCCATGGGTTCACTGTGAAGCTCAGAAAGGACATAACAGAATGGCGAGTGCTTTGAGAGCACATGCAGCTGCCAGCTGGGAGCGGTGATTCCAGGCTGACTGCTCTGAAGGGAGCAGCTGGTCCACCTGCTCTAAGAGCTGGGGGGAAGGGCCGGCCATGCAAAGGGTCGGGGTTGGGCTGAGCTGCACCAGCAGCCTGCATCCGGAGTTCTCACTCCACGGACGTGGGCCTGACACTGTCACTGCCCTCATCATGCTCTGATCGGACGGGGGGAAGCAGGGGGCCAGCAGGGTCATCTGGGGCAACTCAGGGGAAGGAACTAACAACAACTTGGTGGCGCTGCTGGGATCAGAGTGGAGCCTCGGAGGGTCTGAGATGCAGAAATACAGGGAGGGTATTCCCAGGACAGGGGGCAGCCTGGACACAGGCAGGGGAGTGGGCAGGAAGCTGTAATGGGCATTGGAGTCAGCACAGTGAAACAAGGAGGTGTGGGGAAGATGAGTACTGAAAGCCCCCGGTGCCGAGCCTGGCCTTTGATGGTCAGAAGGAAAGAGGGGGTATGATTATCTCTCTTTCTGGGCTCAGTTTCAGCCTCCCCCAAATGAGGGGGCTGGATAGGATCTGGGCTTTAGCATGCTAGGGTCCAATGGACCTTTCTGACAGTCCAAGGACCTACTGATTCTAAAGTCAGGCCTCCCAAACCCACGGTTCCAAGATGGACATTTTATAATGGAGTGCACTGGGGAGCCCCTCCCCCAGCCCCATGTGCGCCATTGACCGTGGAAGTGGCAGGCGAGTGGGCAGATACCTCACAGAGGAAAGTGAAGATGCCCTGGTGCTCCTTAAGGAGCTTGGCGATGGTGAGGCTGCCACGCTTGACGCCCCCCAGCGGGTCAAAGAGCAGGTCACGGTTGAGGGTGCCCTTCCGCTCCTCTGTCCACACGTCGATCTCCTCCTGATGGTAGGCGAAGGTGCAGTTATCCCCGTACTTACAGTCCTGCTTGTTAATCATGTCTGCAAAGAGGCAACAGGACACACGTTCTGCCAGGCGGGACGGCAGCCCGCAGAGCTCCTGGGACCGCCACTGCGGCAGGCCGGGCCCAGGTTCATCTCCGCCACGGAGGGGGTGGGGGGGTTGGCCTGCTCATCACAGGACTGGGGAGGGGTCCGGCAGCAGAGCTGGGGAAAGCCCTTCTCAGGCCAGGTCCCTTCTTTGCCCTGCACCTGTGTTGGGGGGAGGACCTGTTTTTCCATCTACAAAGCATGCAGTTACCCCACCCCACCACCTCACAAAGCAGCCTTATGTGGGTCGGGCAGGATGAAAGGTAGGATAAAGGGCTTTGGAGAGGAACACAAGCCTCTACATAAACAGGAGGGGTGTTTCTCTTACTATTCACCAGGAAAATACCATTGGTCAAGGGCCTAGGCAGATTGGGCTGCGATTCCCTGGGATTCCTCAGCTGTCGGTCCCATAAACAGAGAACTGGGTTGTTGTGAGGGTTAAGTGAAATAATAAATAAAACCCCTGGGGACCAGGAGGGCCTGGCGGGCTCAGGCGGTAGAGCGTGCGACTCTTGATCTTGGGGTTGTGAGCCCAAGCCCCACGTTGGGTGTGGAGCCTACTTTACAACAAAAAACCAAAAACCGAAAAACTCCTGGGGACCAGGGAGCCGGGAGGGCAGCAGGCTCACAACCCAGAGCCCTGCCATTTCCTGGGGGCAGGAACTGCTTTTCTTCCTTCCTCTCCCCTGCTCACGCTCTTTCTAAGTCTGCGCTGCCCCATCCTGCTGCCAGGCTGCAGACACACGAGGACAAGTGAGCCGGTGCACAGACGATCACCACTGGCTGCTCTGTGCTGGAACCAGTCCTGCACCCCTTGGGGAGCCCTGCAGCAGGGAGTGGCTTCCTAAGATCTGGGTGCCGCTTGACCAAGTTCAAAGGAGTGTGCAAAGGAGTCAGGATTCAGTGTATTTGGGGGGTGGTTAGGGCAGAGGGGGGGACTTGTAAGGCTCGCAGAATTTGGACTTCACCCACACTGGCCAGGGGACAGCTGAGGCCTTTGAGCCCAGGAGTGACATGTCCTCAAAATCCTGCTGGGAGGACAGCGAGCTGGTCCAGAAAGCCTGGGGCTACTGCCATGAGCTGGGTGGGGGGACAAAGGCAGAGCCTCCCAAAGTCTCAGTTTCCTCACGTGGAGTTGTGAGGAGTGTGATGGTGCGTACAGAAGGGTGGCACGATAAAGTGCTTTACAAGGTCATGACTGTTCATGCAGTGCCACGTAGACTGTGCCAAGACACTTGGTCGGGAAACAGAAGACCCCAAATAAGGTATGTGACAAACGTCCGTCAAATACTGGCCAAATCCACACGAGCCAGAAGTGAGGAAAATGACAACATAAGCAGCTTTAAAAGCTACTATTATCCACTCTATGTTAACTGACTAGCATGTAAATAAAAACCTAAAAGTGATACTGAAAAAAAAATAAAATAAATAGGGGCACCTGGGTGGCTCAGTCGGTTAAGAGTCCGACTTCAGCTCAGGTCATCATCTCACGGTTCGTGGGTTCAAGCCCCGCATCGGGCTCTGTGCCGACAGCTCGGAGCCTGGAGCCTGCTTTGTATTCTGTATCTTCCTCTTTCTCTGCCCCTCCCCTGCTTGTGCTCTCTCTCTCTCTCTCTCACAAATAAATAAATAAACTTAAAATAAATAACCAAATAAATAAAAGCTATTATTCATCAAGCCCTTTACTATGTGCCAGTCTTAGATGCTTCATGTGGATTCTCTCCACATCTTTCCAACAGCCTTTGCGACCCTGCAGTGACAACCACCACTCTCTGTGAACTGCTTGACCCTCCCACTCAGTAGGGGCTCCAGCTGGAACGGAACATCCCGAATATTCCCACCAGTCTGTGGAGCTGTCAGGGTGGGGAGCTAGATGCTCACTCTGGTGTGGGATTCATCCTTGGTGAATGGCCACCCGTCTACCCGTGATGAGGGGCAGAGCCCAGGTGGGCGTGAGAGGAGCGAGGCCCCGGCTGTGCTGCCCACCCCTGCCGCAGCCCACCCACCTTTGCACAGGTAGTAGGAGCCCACAAAGCTGGTCTTGGTGGGCCGGGGCCGGATCCGCTTCCAGGTCTGGTCCTCGGAGCTGCGGAGCCGGCCAAGCAGGATATCACGCTTGCACTTGTGCTCGAGGCCCTCCCGGTAGGTATAGTCACCCGCCCTCGGGCCTGTGGGTACACGTGGACAGAGACGAACTTCAGATGTAGAAATGAAGGGTGACAGTGGATGGGCCCAAGCCATGGGAATTGGACTCCTGCCGAAAAACACACCTCCTTCACCTGGGCTTCCTGCCAATTCCTGCCACACTCTTCCTGGCCACACGTTCCCTGGAGGCAGGTTGAGGGGAGGCCCCCTCCAAAGCACCCTTTCTAAGGCACCCAGCCCCTTCCTGACCCTCCAGTGAGCCAGACATTTTGTGTTTCCCTAGAAGGTATCGTGAAGACAGTACCTGGCAGAGAGCAGGTTGGCCCCTTTCTGGTCCTGCCCAGCGTGGCACTGCCCCGATTCACCCTCCCCCGCCCTGCTCCTGCCAAGTCTTCTGACGCAGAGCCTCCTCTGCCCTGACAGTGAGGAATCAGCCCTTGTGGGGACCCCGAATGACCTGGCTGTGCCAGCACCAGGTGCATAGCAGTTCATGGGGCGTTTGTCAGCTTCTCAGCGCAGGGGCAGCGGGCGTGTGGACTGGGGAGGCAGTCCGAGGTCCTTGTGAGGAAGAACTTCGGCGTGGGCATAGCCATCCAACAAGATGGCGCTCTGTTCCCCACCCCCGCAAGCCCCTGGGAACTTTGGTGAGATGACTCTCATGGGTGACATGTACGTGGCAGGGGGATGAAGGGGGACGTCTTGTAGGGGGTAGACGACCGCAACTAGACAACCTCTAAGGTCCTGTTAACCCTAATGCCCCTGAGACAGAGAATTCTAGACTGCTAAGAGTTTTAACCCTGGCATCCTAAGAGAGTATCCCATGAAAACTTCAGGGCTTCTGGCAAATGAGTCTTAGTCTAGAATTCTGAGATTCCAGGTGTGCTGAAAATGGTCTCTAGGCATTGGGCATCTATTCCAAACTTCTGTAGCCTCCCTTGGATTTGGGAGCTGGGGATTTAGGAACCACATTTCCCAGACTCCTTTGCCACCTGGGTTCCAGACAAAGTTTGCATTCGCCAAGGAGATGCAGTCGTGAGAAGCGGACCAAGAGGTGGAGGTGGAGTGAGGTGTGGGCCAAGGTGTCCCTGCAGCAGCCGGCGGGCCTCCACTCCATGGCCAGGAACCAGCCTCCGGGCTGTGGGCGGCTGTGGTTCAGGCCAGAAGGTCCAGCGGCCCCCCGATCGCTGTGTGGAGCAGCACACCCCGACTCTGGTCCTCAGCCTGTGGAAGAGCAGCCTAGAGGCCAGTGGAGCCTCCCAGCTTCCGCTCCTCCAGCCCTTCTAGCAGTTTTGAAAGCCCAAACTCCCATGTTCTATGCCATCCAAACTCCCCCGCCCACCTGCTTGAAATACCCGGCGGGGATTCTGTTTTCCCATGCTTCTGACGGGTACACGAGGGTTCTGTTATTTTGGGATGTGATACTCCCCAGGTTCCCAATATCTCTGGACAGAGGGGTGACATTACCTGTTTTAGGGTAACAGAGTTGGCAGGCCTGCTTGAACTCGTGGGTGGCAGCCAAGGGGTTCTTGATGAGCAAGGCGGTGTTGGGCATGGAGGGCTCTGGCTGGGATGGGAGGAGGGTGGCCATCTTGGGCACTGGACCATGGCCAGAGCCACCAGGGCCAGCCTGGGCACCAGAGGCTGGGGGACTCCGTGACCGCCCCCCGCAACCCACCCAAGATCAGAACTGTAGCCCAGTACTACCCTCCTATTTCTCCTACCCTCCCGGGCAAGGAATTCCTTGTAACATGATCCAAGAATCTATAACATAGGGATCAGAATACCCTAGTGGGGGTACACGGGTGACCGTGACCTTGGCCCAGAATCTTCCTTTGAGCAAAAGCCCAACATGAAAGCAGAGAAACAGGAATGGCCCGACTGGGACCTGTGCACATGCCCTCCCCACTCCCAGCCTCTATCTCCCAAGCCCCCAACACATCAGCAGATGGGGAAGGAGGCAAGACTCAGAGAGGTTAGGTTACTTCCCGAGGGCCACACAGCTTGTGTCTAGGCTGAGGCCAGAGTGCAGAGCGCAGGCTGCCTGACACCTGCTCAAGTGCTCTCCTAAACTCAGAACCTGGCTGAGTCCCGAGAACAGGGGTGTTACGAACCCCGGAGAAGTTACTTAACCCCTCTGAGCCTCAACGGCCTCTTCTGTCGGACAAGGGTTGGGCCGTGCCCTCAGCTCACCCCGCCAGCAGGCGGCTCAGTCCAGAAGGGCTAGGAAGAGATCATCTCTGGCCCATCCATTCTGAGGGTGCCTCTCCTTGGAAGATGCAGTACCCCATCTCATGCAGAAGGCTCACCCCTACTTTCAAGCCCACAATCACTTCCCTGCCGCCCCTGGGAGGGCCCAAAGTGCCTGGTTGCGGATCTGGGCCAAGTACTCACCGAGGGGGCTGGTTTCTGAGTACCACTTGGGGGACGATGGTCCTGGGACTTGGTTTCCTCTGGGCAAGAAAACACAGGGGTCACCTGTTCTGCTCTGAAGGGCGTGAGAAGCCCTCTGAGGACTTCTTTGTATGCATTTCTAACTTGTAGGAACCCCGCAGGCCACACATCCACTCCTAATTTGTGCTGATCCCCTGACTCTACTCTCAAGACCACTGCCCAGGAACAGAGAAGTGTCCCAGCCTGCACATGTCTATCCTGTGCTTACCTGCTGTGGTCCCCACTGCCCCTGGGAGAAAGCCTAAGCTCTCAGCTTGGCTCAAAGGTCCTCTGGCACCAGCCTCGGGTCTTCAAGGCCCTTCCCCTCTGGTTGACTACTCTGCTTGTCAGCAAGTCTGTCCATCAGGCAGGCCTGTATCCTACTGCTATTTTAAGACCTTCTCCTTCAAGACCTCGCTCAGCCATTACCTCCTCCAGGAAGTCTCCTCTGACCCCAGAGCTGAGTGAAGCACATCTGTGCTCCTGCAGCCTCATGGATCCCCAAGGGATTCATCCCCTGGGCTAGGTCCAACTGTCAGAAAGCTGGTCCAGTAAGGGCCCAGACAGGTCTGCTTCCTCTCTGGGTCCCTGGCACCCAGCTCAGAGTGGTGATGAAGGAGCTTGCAGGCTCGCACTGCTTCCCCCAGCCTCAGGAACATCCCCATGGGATCCTACCAGCCTGCCCCAGAAGTCTGGGCAGAGAGCAACACACTGCAAGTCTGGAGTCCTGGATTATCCCAGCTCTGCTGTTTGATCTTGAACAAGACACCCAACCCCTCTGGCGTCAGCCCCACACTGTGCTGAGCACTGCAGGAGACACAGCAACTCAGAGGCCATTGTGGCTCTGGACCACAATGGGGTGAGAGGGCCTGGGCTTTGGCCGAATAGAGCCGTAATCTTGATTCCAGTCTCCAGAGATTGGCGATGTGGTGGCACTTGAACAGCCAAGGGGGTGGGGGTGAATGTGCCCACCCAGGTCTCACCCACAAAGGAGTTGGGCTTGTCCAGGGAGCCACGGGTCGACCCAAAGCTGTCGAGGGCATCCAACCGGGTATCCGAGTATGGCAGCAGGTCGAGGGAGTCCAGTGCGGAGCCTGGGGGGTCGAGGGCATCCAGCACAGAGGCGGCCAGCTTCTTGGAGGGGTCCATGACGAGGCCAAAGGAGGCAGGGGGCAGTGGGCTGGAGACGGGAATGGAGCCACCCACTACAGGTGGCAGCAGTGGGGTCCCACCGGGAAACACGGGTATCAGCTGGGGCAACTCGCTGGGCACGCCGCTGCCAGGCAGGCCTCCCTGGACCAGGGACTGCGAGGTGGGGAACAGAGGGAGGGGTTGGAGGAGAACTCGACCACCCAGGCCTGGGCAGAGACAGGCACTGTGGACCCCAGGCAAGCCGACTCCTCTGTGCCTCAGCCCAGAGCCATCCCACGAGTGGAGCTAAGGATCTTTGCGGTCCCTCTGGTTGTGTATTCTAGAGCTTCAGGTTTGTACCCCAAGCAGGTCCCTTTCCCTCCCCAGGCCTCAGTTTCCCCAACTGTGACATGGGAATGGGACCCTCCCTCCACCCCTTGTGGGACAGGTGATGAAGGTGCTGGGGCCCTGGGGAGGGGGAGGGGATCAGGGGAGCAGAAGAATGGTGGCAGCATGGCTCACCAGTGAGTCCAGGAGGGTGTCCAGCTCCGGACCAAAGACATCCCCGTCGGAGAAGTCGTCCAGGCTCTCAGTGCCAGGGAGGGCCCTGCTGCTGCTGTCCAGGGGGGCCAGCAGGTCCAGAACGTGAGGGAACAGGGGCATTGTGGGGGTAGAGGGGAGGGGGGCCGGGGAGCCTCGCAGGTCCACGTAGCAGTCTGTGGATGGGAGGGAGGGTTCAGTAGCTGCAGGGGGTCCTGCTTGGTGAGGGGTGGGATGGGGAGGTGATCCAGGGCCCTAGGGTTCTCCTGCAATACCTTCCCTCCTCTCCCTAGCTCCTGTCAGGAATCCTGCCTGTCCCGCCCACCTGACCCCATGCCTGGAGGCTCAGTCATAGTGAAAGAAGGCCTCTACAAAACAGAAGAGGGACCTTCAGTCCTACAATATCTCTCCAATGGGCCTGGCCCAGTGCCTGAATATTGTCCCTCTGGGCTAAGCAATGCCCTCTCTAAGGGACACTTTTTAAATGTGACTCTTCCTGGAAGCCAGTGAGGAAGAGAAGGGGACTCTCAGTTGGGAGAGGGGCTGGCCTGGAGTGGAGGACATGAGACCAGTGTTACTTTACTGTGTGGCAGACCCCCCACCCTCCTCTCCCTGAGGGGGAAACCCCAGGGCAGGGAGCCCTCAGGCCCAGGCTGGGAGCGTCTGAGCCTTCCCTGGGGTCCCATCTCCACCCTGTCCCCTCAAATCAGGGACACTACCTGTTTCGATGTCATCTATGGACCCCAATCCATTGGAAGTTCCCTGTGGGAAGAAAGACACAGAGGGTCAGGCAGACATGGGCTGGGAAGGCCATGGTACCTCCTCCACGGTACCCCACCTCAGTGACCACTGTTGGTAGTTTTTAAGTTTACTTATTTTTGAGACAGAGAGAGAGAGAGAGAGAGAGAGAGAGAGAGAGAGACAGAGAGAGAGACAGAGCACGAGTGGGGGAGGGGCAGAGAGAGAGGGAGACACAGAATCCGCAGCAGGCTCTGAGCCGTCAGCACAGAGCCCGACACGGGACTCAAACTCAAGAATTGTGAGATCATGACCTGAGCCGAAGTTGGGCACTTAACTGACTGAGCCAACCCAGGCGCCCTGGTATTTTTTTTTTTTTTAAGTAGGCTTCACACCCAGTGCAGAACCCAACACGGGGCTTGAACTCACAGCTCTGAGATCGAGACTTGAGCTGAGATCAAGAGTTGGATGCTCAACCGACTGAGCCACCCAGTTGCCTTATTGATGGAATTAAGCACGGGTCTGGACAGGCAAGAGTCAGGAGGCAGGAGTCACACAAGTCTCACATCTGCCTTTTGCTGGAGGAGAGCCCCGGGCGGGGAGAGATATAACCTCTGAGCCTCGGTTTCCTTACCCATCACAGCATACCCCGGGCCGGGTGGCTAGGATTTTACTGAGCCCTCCTACACCTGTGCCCTGCGTGGATAGTTTGCAGCTCTATGACAAAAGTGCCACCCCTCGAATCACCAGTGTCACTCCCCCAATTACAGCCCCAGGCCGAATGAGCCCTGGTGAGATTCCACTGCCACTGGTGGACCTGCTGTTGGAGGGAAAGCTGGGCCTGAGCTTGCTCTGTGGCCTTGCCAAGTTCCTCATCCTCTCTAGGCCTGTTCCTTTTTCTGTGGAGTAAGGATAATACAGTCGCCCACCTTCTAGGATAGATAGAAGTTTGAAATCACTTGACATTTGCATAGAACTCAGAACAGTGCCTGACACACAGGAAGTGCTCTCTGTGTCTGTCAGGAGGCTGGCCTGGAGGGCCCGGGTGTTTTCGCTCACCAGCCTCCACATTCTGTCCCCACAGACTCGCCTGCCGCATCGTCCCTGCCTGGCGTCCCCCTCTGGCTGTGGCCCGAGTCATTTCTCGAGCTTGGCACATCCTCCCCTTCCCCAGCGGGGCCCGTGGGTGACCCCACGTTCTCTGTGCACCCACCGAGGGAAGCAGGGGGACCAGAGCCTCACTGCTAGCCATGTGGCCCCGTGGATCTACAGTGGCGCCAACAGCAACAAGATTTACCCAGGGCCCTGCCTCACGCCAGGCCGGGCCCGCGATTTACAGCCAGACAAGCTCAGCCCCAGGTCTAGGTGCCCTGAGAGGTGTTCTCCCCCACACAGAGGAGACATTGCTCCAGTGACGTGGCCACTCCGGGGCCAGAGAGGGGCTGTCTGACCCCAGCCCGGGCACCTGCACAGAATACCTCCTTCTTGTGCCCTGGAGCCTGGCCCTGCACGGAGAAGTTGTGCCATTCAACGTCCGGGGCGGGGGCTGGCTGCACAAACCAGAGCTGCCGTGCTGGGTCGCAGCTGCTACTCCCACGGGAAGCATATGAGACACGTGAGGTGGGGACAGAGGTGCCAGAGGAACGTCTCTAGGCACGGCCGTGCGTCTCCCTGCTCGGTGCTGTCCACGGCTCGCCGGGGCCCCTGCCAGCCACCCAGCTCCAGCCCATCATCTCTCCCTGCCCCTTCCTGCTAGGGACACTCAGGTAGCAACGAGCATGGAGCGCCTCCGCCCCGGCGAGCCTTGTGCCCGTGGCTGTCACAAAACGGCAGGCCCCGGCAGCTCTCCGGGAGGTGGAGTGGCCACCTCCGATAAGGGTGCGCTCAAGACCTGAACCAAAACACAGGCCCAGCTGTAGCGCCCGGCTTCTTCCGAACTAGAACTAGTCTTGTGGCCTGGGATACACGTTTCTCTCTCCTGCCGCTAGGCCCGTGCTCGAGCTGTGTCTCTGTCTTTGACTTTGGCTCCCTCCTCCCCAACCAAGGCTGCCTCAGGTTCTAACCTGTTCCTAGAACTCACGGCCTTCCTTGTGTCTCGCCCCTCACACTGCCGACGGGAGCGCTGGCACAGACCCTGTGCCTGCCCGTGTCATCTCCAGGTCGTAAGAAGCTCCCGGTGGCTGCAGCTCATGAGTCCCCACTGCCGGTCACACACGTGGAATGACTTACTGGCTGAATGACTGGGACTCCTGGGCTGGGGACCCCTGCCAGGATCCCCGCAGCCAGGCTCACACACGGTGTGTGGGTCAAGCTTCCGGGTCAGGGGATCTGGCTGGAACGTTCCCCCCTCACTACTCTGTGGAGCCTTAGGCTCCACACATACGTACCGTGTGTGTACGTATGCATGTAAGTACGTGGCTGTGTGTGCGTGGTACGTGGACACAGAAGCGTGTGGATGTGACTGGGCGTATGCACGTGCGTGTGTGCATGTGGACACGCGCGGCACCACGTGGCCCACAGAGGCAGGATCTGTGGGGTCCACTCTGCTTGGGCTCCTCACAGACCCCGACCCCCATGGCCAGCCCTGGCCCCTGTGCACGTGGTGGGGGCCCCAGCACGGTTGCGGGGATGCGTGGATGGTTTGGCAGGGGCTGGGGTGCCCAATGCCGTGCGTGGCACCATCGTGGTCCCCTGGCTGCAGACTCAGTGGACACTGAGGGCGGGCCCTTGTGGAGCCGGGCATCCCTGACCTGACTCCGAAGTGGTGCCAGGCAGAGGCACTGAACAGAGGAAGCCATGGTCCTGCTCTCAGATGAGCTTGTCAAGGAGCCGACACACACACACACACACACACACACACACACACACACA